CTCTAGATGTTCCATTTTCAATTGACGACTTAAGATAAGTGCACATTTTTGAGTTTCAAGTTTATCTTTAAAATAATCGTGAAGCTTTTGGATACTGTTAAAGTTTATATAGCTTTTCTCAGTATTTTTTGTCGCAGGAAGGATCTCACGAGTAAGGAATGTTTGATTTGAAACTGATTCTACGATCAAAGGATATAAAGGAATGCTTCCGTTGGCAAAATTATTTTCGCGTATGCTGAGTTTTGGAATATGAACCTGATAAAAAATAACTTTAAACTCTATGTATATGTGAGATATTTAATATAGATTCAATTACAAACCTCAAATCCAGGATAAAGTTCAAAATTTTCTTTTTGCTCCTGACTTTTTTTCACTTCAAAGTCGTAGCATATGTCATTTTCATCGTAATCGTCTTCTTCTGCTGAGTGATCCTCTTCATCAGTTCCGAATACTTGCCAGTTAATATTATCCAAGTCAGTTTCACTCATTATGCATATTTGATGTTCAGTAAGTTTCGTAAGATATCTGCATATATATACACAATTATAAATTTTATGCTTAAATTTTTAAATTGAATGGAATATTTATTACCTATGCATATTAGAAAGATTCTTTTTAAGATGTGATGAAGCCAAATCTTCATAACAACCATCTTCACTCCAGTGTATTACCAAGAATTGATGTTCGAAAGGGTTCGTATTAGCTTCAACCAAAGGCAATTTAAGAAGATATATACCAGGTCGCAAGGTCATATTTGCAATTGAATTTGTTCCGTAAGCATTTCTTGGGCTTGACGATGATGCGATTAACAATTTATAACTAAAAATTGTATGTTCAATTAATAGGCGATTTATAATAATTATTACGAAGGTAAACAAAACTTACTTCGTTTGATCAATAGCGTTCTTATTTAATAAAAATTTGGCAATCATTTCATTACGACCATAGCATCCAATGAGATGAACACTTTTAGAATTCAATTTTTTATAGTCGATTTTGGAAATGGATTTGAAACTCCTTGGCACCAATTCATTGCAAAGACGTTTCACGTGTTGTTGCCAAATTATAATTTTATCCACTACATATATTATGCCGATGTTTGTCAAAAAAAGAAGTTTATCTTAAAGCAAGAAACTATTGCTATTACATACCAAGACCATTCGATCCTTCATCTTTGCATAAGTCTAATAAGCGATACAATCCGGGAATAGCTTCACATAGATCTGGTGCTTGCTCAGATTCGTGATTAGATTCAGATTCTGGGTCGAGTTCCATATCGTCTGGGTTTAACTCACTATTTTGGTGACCGGTAGAACTTTCAGACGCGTTCTTATCTGTTGTTATAATTCTATTAAATACATCTTTATAGAAGTTAAATTTACATGCATATATAACCTAACCTTGTATTGCGGTGTCCTTTTTGGCCGCAAATTCTTTACTGTTAACTTTTTCGTCCTCATCTATTATTACAATTTTATTAAATAAATGCTTATATAAATCAAATTAATTTGTATATTCAATCTAACCTTGCATCATAGAGTTTTTTTTGTCAACTTTTTCGTCATCATCGGACAACATAGTACCGTTATTAGTCCTATTTGGCGGCGGGACATTATTAGTTTTATTATTATTATTATTATTATCGAGTTCAGAATCGATTTCCACATTTTCTAGGTTTGCTTCACCGTTCTGGTAACCGGACACGTCCTCGTCTGTTGTTACATTTCATTAAATAAATGTTTATAGAGGTCAGTAAAGTCAAGCTGACATAAATTCGTGGCAAAATGCTTTTATTTCTGAGTGTATACGTATTTACCTGACGTTTTGTTAGACATGCTACCTAAATTTGGATCAATCATTTTTTAGGATAAAAAATTCGACAACTTTCTCGTACGTACTGTATTTATTTGTCGTGACGATTAGATGATTTGCATAAAGATTTTTTGCTGCGCATAATCACTTTTGTAACGTTAAGATCATGCTATACTCCTCTAAGCGCATTACAGTCACACTTCTCCTAATGTATACTCTTTTAAATGCTTATTATAGCGATAGCGCCGGTTCTAAGAGTATGCATTTAGAGGAGTGTGACTAACAATAGTTATTGCTCCGATGATTTCGTCCCATTATAAGTTTAAAGTTTACATACCTGATTCTTTGTTAAAACCAGTAATGATCGTAACGGTAAGTCTACAATTGTTAAAGCGCATACTTTTGTAGTCACACTTCTCCTAATACATACTCTTGGAACTGGCACTATACTTAATAAGCACTTAAAAGAGTATCGGTATACATTTAAAGGTTTGTGACTGTATATACGTATGCATACTCTTGGAATTGGCACCCCTCCCCCCATTATAAATTTAAAGTTTACACACCCGAGAAAACCGGTAATGATTATGGTCATAAGACTATAATTGTTTGAAAGAGTAAATTAAGAAAAAGCGTCTCGTAATAAATTCCTAATAAAGATAGATCATTTCTTATTTATGCAAGTCTTATCCGATATCTTAGAAAATGCGTTTCTTGTTTTTAAGAACTGTCAACTTGTTACATGTACACTCAGTGGACAAAAGTTTGGAATCGGGAAATGATCTGCAATATAGATCACAAAATTTGGGGTGACTTTTAATTAATATACGTACTCGACTTCTCTTTAAATACAATAAAAAATATATCATTTTATTCGGCAAAAGTAAGGCTATTCATACATATATTTTAATATTGGGTTGGATACCATTTGCATTAATCACAGTTTGCACCCTTCTCGGCATACTTTCAGCAAAGTTTTTTAAAATTTCCAGTTCGATTTTTTCCCATTCCTCTGCAAGTGCATCCATCAATTCTTCTTGATTTTTCGGGATAAATTGGTCATGCACGAATTCGTCTTTCCAAAACATCTCATAAATGCTCAATTGGATTTAGATCAGGACTCT